AGATTAAGAAAAAAACCTACTGCCATTGAGTGGATTTTGACTCACAGCAACCCTAAAAGACAGAGTAGAACTGCCTTATAGGGTATCCAAGGCTATAAATCTTTATGTCAGCAGACTGCCTAATGTTGCTCTTGTGGAGCAGCTCGTGGGTTAGAGCCACCTACCTTTTGGTTAGCAGTCAAATGCCTTACCACCTCACCGTCAGAATTCGAAAACCAAACTCACTGCCATGGAGTCCATTCCAACTCACAGTGATTGGGTTTCCAAGGCTGTAAATCTTTATGGAAGCAGACCATCTCATCTGTTTTCCACGGAGGGGCTGGTGGGTTCAAACCACCAAAATTCTGGTTAGCAGCCAAATGCCATAACCACTACATCACCAGAGCTCCTTCACTCAGTGATGTGTAAAATTCTGAGTTGCCAGAATTTAACATGGACATCTGTTTTTTCTACTCTGATGAGGCAGCTATCATCTTCTATTCGGCCACTCTTGGGTACACGTCTAGTAGTGACTAACCATATGTCTTTGACTTTCCTTACTCATTGACCTAGAAGGAGTTTTTATTGGCATTTTTATTGGTATAAATGTATGTATCTTTTCCTATAATGATAATAGCAATGATAAGTTGGGTGGGCACAATGTGAACTCTTTACAGGGCTGGGAGAAATCTTTTTTAGATTTGTCTGTCAAGGATAGATTGTTGTAATACACTTAGCTAATATATGAGGTGACATGAAGTAGGCATAAGCTATGCAAACATCATAATAATGTTTTGTAATTTTGCCACACTTTCTCCTATAGATTCCAAAATTATAGCACATACACTACCTCTTTTCTTTCTTCTAAAGGTTGCATGAGATGAGAAAACTGAGTTTAAATGTGATTTATGGACTCATCCAACATAACTGTTGTTTGTTGTTATGTGCCGTCGAGTCGGCCCCGCCTCATAGCGACCCTGCCTTGGCTTTCCAAGGCAGTATCACTACGGAAGTAGGATTGCTCAACCTTCCTTCCAAGGAGTGGCTGGTGGGTTTGAACTGCCAGCCTTCTGGTTAGCAGTCAAGTGCCTTAGACACTATGCTACCAGAGCTCCTCCAACGTAGCTAGTAGAAGGATTTAGCACAGATCCCTTCTTCTAACTCCTCGTTAGTCCACCTTTGCTCACCACTCCCTTTTTTTTTCTTGCAGCTTAATCTATATTTGAATTTATTTTCCAGAACCAATTTCATGAATCATGCTGAAAGTCAGATTTAAAGTACAAACTAAACCAGTTGCAAAATATGAAACATAGTAAAAGATGGAAATAAAAAGTTGGAATATTTTAAGACAGGTTTTATGTATGTTACTGCAACCAGGGGGCAGTAAAATTGATGCATTGAAGCTAACACACCAAACTAGTGTAGCAATTACAGTTCTATTTAGTTATAGCACATAAATGCTAAAGTAAAAACTTACAACTCTAATCTAAATTTATGTTCACTTGTACTGCTTGTTGTGTCATCTCTCACAAGAAAATATATTTAGACATGATAGGCATGGATTGTTTTTCCTCAAGTAGATTCACATTAAGTATAAAATGTTTGCTCCAGAAAATGATAATTTTTCAAAAATATGGGTCAAAAATAGACTCCCTTGCTGTTTTTTCACTCCCAATGTTTTGCATTTGTCTTTCTTAACACACAGACTCATGCCATTAGCTCTACTCTCTCAATATAACTCTACTCTTTCAGTAACAAATGGTGACATATCAGAAACTTAACTTTCTGTGGGTACCAAGTAAGACTTTCAAAATGTCAACTTGGTGTTAAATATTAGCCATTGATGGAGACTGTGGTCAACTAGAGAGTATATGACCCAACTAAAAAGGCCACCAACTACTTTGTTCCAGCCGGCTGCTACTATATTTGAACAGGAACTCTGGGCTGCCTGAACTTCTAAATTTTCTAGAGCAGAATGAAACCTTGATGTCTGTAGGTGTTAACTAATCCAAAACATTGAAAACACTATGTGAGTCACATAAAGCATGTTTCCGGACCACAGCTGGCACACAGCTATAGAGACATTATTCTATAGGAATGATCATGTTGTTGTTGGGTGCTATCAAGTCAATTTCTACTTATAGTTACCAAATGTGACAGAGTAGAACCTCCCAATAGAGTTTCCATGGCTGTAATCTTTATGGGAGCAGATTGCTAGATCATTTTCCCCAGAGCACTTGGTGGACTCAAACTGCCGATCTTTTGTTAGCTGTTGTTGTTGCTGTTGTTATGTGCCATCAAGTCTGACCCAACTTATAGTGACCCCTCCTTGGGTTTCCGAGACAGTATCACTACAGGGGTAGATTGCCCAACCTTCTTTCCAAGGAGTGGCAGCCGAGTACTTAATCATTGAGTCTCCAGGGCTTCTTTGGAATGAACATGGTGCTTCAAATAAAGACTTTTATCTATCAGTTTCCTACTCTCCTTTGCTATTTCAGTGTCTATCTAATATATACTTCTGATTTCCTCAGTGTGTGCATAAGAAAGTCACAGAATATTCTCATTATATCTCTGTGGATGAAAAGACTTGTCAGATGAAAAGAATTTTCAAGCAAGGAGTTGTCTTTGTGCCCATGTATTTTATTATTATTTTTTAAAATTGACAGTCTTCAATGGTTGTTATTCATCCCTCCAGCTTAATGCTACTGATAACTTTAAATAAAAGTTGGTTATGGAAACATCTTTTTTACTTCTGTTCCTTTGAACTTAAAGGAAAGCAAAGTATTTTACTTTCTCAAGAGGTAGTTCTTTTCTGTGTTCCCTTTTAAGAAAGGGAAGTACATTTTTTTGTTGCTGTTCCTCATTTTATCCCCAGTTCCTAGGACACTCCCTAGACAAAAAAAGACTAAATGATATTAATTTATTAATCAAAATTTGTAGTTTTATTCATTTGATTCATCATTCAATCAGTTAACTTTTTCTTAGCATAAACAGTGTGCCAAGTATGTTATCAAATATACTGCTCCTGAGAAACTGTCTGCCAAGGGAAAAAAAAAAAATCTTTATTGGCCTTAAATTTAATGAGATATAAGCTATATTTTAAGATGTAAACCTACAAGTTGCCTCAGATCTATGTAGTACTTTGGGGAGCATATCAACTTTTTTCTTAGTTCTCCTTCTTAGAAATGTGTAATAATATCAGATCATATCATACATTCCTAGGTAAATGTCTGACTGCCCTCTGGTTAATCACAACAGATATCCTTGGGTGTATGTTGGGGGGAAGCCGCATACTATAAGTTCACTAGCAAAAATTCACAAGTCAATTTTCATGAATTAATTTGACCCTAATTCTTGTTTTAAAGTATTGGGATTTGATTGCTTAAAATGAAAGTATTTAACTCACTGTAAAAATATTTAAAACAAAAAATTTTGCACTATTTTGATGAGTAAAGCATCTTTGTTCACTTGATTATACTCTACTATGAGAAACAGAAAATAATCAAACCTCAAATAAAATTAGTCACATTATTTGTTGTTAGTTGTTATGTGTCATCAAGTTGTCTCCGACTCATAGTGACATTCAACAGAATGAAACACTGCCCCATCCTGTGCCAGCCTCATGATGCTTACTATACCTGAGCCCATCACTGCAGCCACCGTGTCAATCCATCTTGTTGAGGGCCTTCCCCTCTTTCGTTCACCTTTACCAAGCGTGACATTCTTCTTCAGAGAATGGTCCCTTCTGTCAACATGACCAAATTAGGTGACACGAAGTCTGGCCATCCTTGCTTCCAAGGTGCATTCTGGCTGCACTTCTTCCAGGACAGATTTGTTAGTTCTTTTAGCAGTCACATAGGTATCAAAATTAAAGTGAAACACCAACATCAAAGTTCAAATGCATGCCTTCCAGTAAAAATTCAATAGTCTATATCCTTATTTTCTTATGTTAAGATTTTTAGCAGTATGCTAACTGCTTCATCATATCAATCCATCAATTAATCATATTAATGTATCAGAATCATATTATATTCTAAAAGCAGGATTGGATCACCTAAATTAACAGAAGCTGCAAATTTACAATTCAGCCAGGATCATCTGTGCTAATGTAACCAAAATGTGGGTGAAGACAGGGAGATACAAGCTTGCATAAAAGACCTTGTTAATTTTAATGATTGTGTTTAATATTTGTAGTCTTCTATTAAACCCTGGATACATCAGCAAACTTGGTAAGCAATTTAAAGAGTAGATTGTCTATGTTTAACATAAAATTTTAATTTATAACCAGTAATTTCTTTTTCTTCAAGGAATTGCATTTCTTTTTTGAGTGTCATTTTCCTTATGCAAGATGCATTATTAGCAGCTATTGCTTAACAAGGGTGAGGGTGGTAAACAGAATAACGATTGCCCAAAGATATCTATGTCCTATATAAATATGTTATGTTGCATGGAAAAGGGAAATATAATGCAGATGGATTTAAGGCTGCTAATCAGTTGACTTTAAAATATAGAGATTATCCTGAATTATCTGAGTCTGCCCAATCACAAAGCTGACCCTTGTCTAATCACAAGTGTCCTTAAAAGTGAAAGGGAGAATCAGAAGAGAGATCAGAGAGGTGGCAGAATGAAAAGAATTCAACTTGATTTTACTGGCTTTGAAATGGAGGGAGGGAGCCATAGCCAAGGAATGTAGGAAGCTTCTAACAGCTGCAAAAGGGAAAAGAATGGATTCTGCCAGAGAGCCTGCAGAAAAGATGCAGCCCTGTCAACATCTCTAGCTGAGTGAGACCCATTTCAGACTTCTCCCCTAGAAAACTGTAAGACAATACATTTGTGGTGTTCTTAACCACAGTTTGTGGTGCTTTCTTACCTCAATGGAGAAAAATACACTAAGGATCCTTATTTGATTTTCCCAGTAGCCTTTGTTATAGACAATTGCATTAATAAAGTCAAAAGTTTCAAACTTTCCCAAGACAATATCTTATTTGTTTCTTTGTTGACTTGTTTATTGTTCTATTCAGGAGGTAATTGGTATCAGCCAGGTCAACATTTCAAGAAGCAGCCAAGAAATGGAAGAAAAGGAACAAGAAGCTTCTAAAACACATGACATAGAAGTTCTTGGAAGAGAAATGGTAACAACCTAGAAAGACAATATTTTCCAAGCAGTCTCTAGAATTGTGTGGAAATTCTGAGTTTGTTGTAACCATTTGTTTATATTGTCCTTCATATATTTAATGCCAATTAGTATCTTTCTCCACTTTGCAAATAGCATTCCTTGAAACACAAAACTGACACCCTAAAAATATAAATTTTAGGGGTCAATTCAAATATATGATGTTATACCATGAGTTCATTGTTAAAATATTTGCTTCAGCATTTGGTAGCGTCTCTCAATGTGCACTGAAGGCTTAGACAAAAATCACTTTGAAATGAAGAATATTGTTTGCAGTATTGAAATAAATCATTTCTTACAATTATTTACTTAACATTATTTTTAAATACAGATTTCTCACCATGAAAAGCACAGCCAGGAAACAAACCAAGCTGCTTCTCACTTCCATCAATATGTTCAGGAAACAGGTAAGAGTCTTTTCTTGTTGGTGTTGTTTAATTTGGTGAGATTATTTTATCTCAATATAACATTCTCCTACTGATATGTGTGAGTTTGAGTGAAAAACTTCTAAAGCATGCCCCTCCCCACTGAGAAACTCTTCTGTATTGTTATTTTATTTATTTACTTTTTTGGCCTCAAGGATAAAAAAGTAAAACTTGGTGTTTATTAAGCTCCCTGAGAATAGAATTGATACCTATACTGTATTACTTTTAATAATAGATGTAAGCACTATGAAGTCCAGCGTTCCAACCTACAGACATGAGATTAGAATACAGACAAATTTATCCAGGTTGGCATAACACAGGCATATTTTATCTTGCCTATAAGAGATAATAAGAAGTTATGCTGTCCCTTGAAGAGCTAAAGGGAAGATTTAAGACAAAAAAAAAAAAACCCTCACTGCCACCCAATCGATTGTGACTCCTCCTTGGGTTTCCGAGGCGGTATCTCTACAGAGGTAGATTACCCAGTCTTCCTTCTGAGGAGTGCCTGGTGGATCTGAACCACCAGTCTTCTGGTTAGCAGTCAAATGCCTTATGACCAAAATGTTTTGACTATATCTATATTGGTTTTACTGCTTTGTTGTTGTTGCTGTTGTTCTTTTCTTGTTTTACAACTTTTTTATTTTTTTTCTTGAGCATTAAATAAAGCCAAACATGCTTGTAAAAGAGTTGGAAACTATATACAATTGAAATAAAGAACCATTTTATCACATATGGCTTTCTATCTAAGGATAACTGCCAATAACATTTCCCATCCTAAATTTTGTTCCTATAATTTTCCTGTATCTTCTCCAAATTCCTCACTTACATAATGGAACACTGTAATAGATCCATACATTTTGATATCATTTTTTCACTTAATGTGTATTTTGAGAAGTATTCTTATCATTATAATTTCTTCTCAAACATCCTTTCCTGTTAGTTGTATTACATACCTGGGATTCTTTTCTACTTGTAGTCATTGATACACCTGAGGATGAAGATATTCCAAAGGTTTCAACTAAGTTTTTAAAAGAACAATTTGAAAAATCTGCCCAGGAAAAGGTCCTTTATTCTGACAAAGAAACAACAATCCCAACCAAGCAGATTAAGGTAAGGCAATTTTTCTATACAGAATAATACTATGTGCAAAGCTATACTTGAATGCATAGCATTCTCAAATTATTGAATGTTGAAGGTGGTCTTTCAATAAAACATACCCTGAACAAATGCTTATTCTGTTCCATTAGAAGGATATTGATCTCTTGAAAAGAGATAGAGTTAAAATTTTTCTCACTAAAGAAGATGAAGGAAGAAGAAATATTATGTATGCTCAAAAGCCTAATAACTAACATTAGATAAAGTAATAAAGTAAATTTTAAATGTCAAATGCTTATTCTGTTCTGTTTTAAATTCCAAGACAATAAAACAACCCTCAAAAGTATTTTAAGACTTTTATTGTTCCCCTCTAGATTACTCTGCATAGCACATTAAGTAAAGGGAAAAAAAACAAGATTATGTGTAAATGTTAAAATACTAAGTAGTTGATGTGTTGAATGAACAATATACATTTACAGTGCAAATGGGTTGTAGCAAAGATAGCAACAAACATTTAAAATTGTTTTAAGTATTTCTTTAAATGAAGTATATTATCTGCTATTGTCAATGGAGAAGTCATAGCAGGGTCTGGGTATGTGAACAAGTGAAGGGAAGTGACTGGGAAGCCTCCATCACTATACCCATTTTTATAAGATTTGATTTCCTCTCCCCTAAAGATTGAAAGTGAATATGAAGATACTTTAAAGCCTTCTTCAGTTGTGGGTACCTCTTCTACTTGTGCTACAACCAGCCAGAGAAAGGAAATCTCAACTACAAGATACCGTAACCATCATGTCACTTCCTCAACTCTGACACAAGTTAATCCCACTCCTTCTGAAAAAATGGAAGAATTTCCTCCTCCCCCACCTGAAGTACTTCAAACTCCAATAGATGCGACAGCATTTTCCCAGTCCCCTGAATTGCCTAATCCTGCTAGAAGACCACTAGTCACCAAAGAATTATATTCCAAGCAAAGGAATTTGTATGAGTTAAACCGTTTATATAAACACATCCATCCTGAATTAAGAAAAAACTTGGAAAAAGATTATATCAGTGAGGTTTCTGAAATTGTTTCTAGTCAAGTGAACCCAGGGTGCTCAATTTCAGCAGATGTACAACAAGCTCTATCTGTTTTTGAAAATACAAATGACAGGTCTCAGAAAGATCTAAACACTGGAAGAGAACACATGGAGTGGAATGAAATTTTGAAGGGAGAAGTGCAGTCCATGAGATGGATCTTTGAGAATCAGCCATTAGATTCCATCAATAATGGCTCTCAAGATGAAGGCAGCATCCCAAAGAGCATCGCTGATCAAGAAATCATTGCTGGTGGTGATGTAAAATATACCACATGGATGTTTGAAACCCAACCCATAGATAGGCTGGGGTTTCATTCTTCTGGCACGGAAGAAAATGCTGAGAAAATTCCTGAGCTAGCTAGAGGAGATGTGCGCACAGCCAGGTGGATGTTTGAAACAAAGCCATTAGATGCACTACACAAAATGCATCAAAGTCAAGAAGAATCAGAAGAAACAACCATTAAGGACATAACTGGAGGAGATGTCAAGACTGTGAGATACATGTTTGAGACTCAACATCTAGATCAGCTTGGACAGCTTCATTCAGTGGATGAGGTTCACTTACTGCAACTCAGGTCTGAGCTCAAAGAAATTAAAGGAAATGTGAAGAGAAGTATAAAATGTTTTGAAACTCAACCTTTATATGTTATTAGAGATGGTTCAGGTCAAATGCTGGAAATTAAAACTGTTCACAGAGAAGATGTTGAAAAGGGCAATGTGAGAACAGCACGTTGGATGTTTGAAACACAGCCCTTGGACACAATTAATAAAGATATCACAGAAATTAAAGTTGTCCGAGGGGTATCTGTGGAAGAAAACTTCAAAGGTGGGGTGAGCAGGGCAAAGTGGTTATTTGAAACGCAACCATTGGAAAAAATCAAAGAAGACACAGAGGAAGTAATCAGTAAAAAGGAAATGATAATAGGTGCAGATGTCTCCAGAAAGTGTTGGATGTTTGAAACCCAGCCATTAGACATTCTAAAAGATGTTCCTGATACAGATCCTCTACCACCTGAGGAGATAATAGGGGGTGATGTGCAAGCTACTAAACATCTATTTGAAACACTTCCAATGGAGGCTTTAAAAGATAGTCCTGATGTAGGAAACCTTCAAAAAATTATTGCCTCTGAAGAAGAAAAAGGGGATGTTAGGCACCATAAATGGATTTTTGAAACCCAACCTCTAGAAGAGATTAGAGAAGATAAAAAAGAGTATACGAGGACAGTGAAACTTGAAGAGATTGACAGAGGAGATGTAAGAAGTTACACACATATTTTTGAATCAAACAATTTAATTAAATTTGACCCATCACATAAAATAGAGGTGGAAGGAGTCACAAGAGGTGCTGTAGAGTTAAATAAATCTCTCTTTGAAACAACACCACTGTATGCCATTCAGGATCACCTAGGAAAATATCATCAAGTAAAGACTGTCCAGCAAGAAGAAATCCTAAGAGGTGATGTAAGAAGCTGTAGGTGGCTTTTTGAAACAAGGCCCATTGACCAGTTTGATGAAAGTATTCATAAATTTCAAATAATAAGAGGAATATCTGCTCAAGAAATACAGACTGGAAATGTAAAATCTGCTAAATGGTTGTTTGAAACTCAACCTCTTGATTCAATCAAATATTTTAGTAATGCGGAAGAAATAGAAAATAAAACTGAACAAGCTACAGATATTGTTAAAGGGGATGTCAAAACCTGTAGATGGCTTTTTGAAACACAGCCAATGGAGTCTCTTTATGAAAAAGTTTCATTAGTGAGTGGCAGTGAAGAGATTCATAAGGGAGATGTCAAAACCCGTACTTGGCTTTTTGAAACTCAGCCACTTGATACCATAAAAGATGATTCTGAACCATCAGTCAAATTGCAAACTGTAAAACAGGAGGAGATCCAAGGTGGAGATGTTCGTACAGCATGTTTTGTTTTTGAGACAGAAAATTTGGACAGTATACAAGGAGAGAAAGGAAAGGAAACCAAGCCTGTGGAAATGGATATACAAACTGGAGATGTTTCCAGCATGTGGTATAAATTTGAAAATCAGTCATTAGATTCCATAAGTTCCAGTTCAGAAGAAGTTTTGAAAAAGATCAAAACTCTAAAAACTGAAGATATTCAAAAAGGTAATGTTTTAAATTGTAGGTGGCTTTTTGAAAATCAACCAATTGATATGATAAAAGAAAGCCAAGAAGGTGATGAGTTACTTAAGACAGTGACAGACATACAAGGTGGGGATGTAAGAAAGGGCTGCTTTATTTTTGAGACTTTTTCTTTGGATAAGATTAAAGAAGAATCTGAGTATGTCAGCAGCAAGGAAACAAGTACTGAAGAAGTAATGAAGGGCAACGTGAAAAGCTACAGAATGCTGTTTGAAACTCAGCCACTCTATGCAATCCAAGACCGAGAAGGGTGTTATCATGAAGTGACAACTGTTAAAAAGGAAGAGGTAATTCACGGAGATGTACGAGGGACAAGGTGGCTTTTTGAAACAAAACCATTAGACTCAATTAATGAATCTGATACCGTGTATATTATTAAATCTGTCACACAAGAAGACATTCAGAAGGGAGATGTTAATTCTGTCAGATACAGATTTGAAACAAAGCCATTGGATAAAATCTCTGAGGAATCACATGAGATTGTGCCCACCATTGACTGTATTCAAGGTGGGAATGTAAAAACCAGCAAACAAATATTTGAGTCTGAAAATGTCTATAAAAATACATCTATAAGAACAGTAAGTGTTAATGAAATACAAAAGGGCAATGTTAAAACATCTACTTGGCTATTTGAAACCCATACTTTAGATGAACTGAGAGGAGAAGAGTCAGAATATGAAAATATCAAGACAGTCATCAAGGAAGACGTGCAGAAAGGTGATGTCAAACAGGCAATATGGCTTTTTGAAAATCAATCTTTAGATTCTATTAAGGAAACAAATGAGAGCATCACAAAAATAATTAAGGAAGAAATTCCTGCTTGTGATGTCAAGACAACTACATGGCTCTTTGAAACAACACCCCTTCATGAATTTAATGAAAATAAGGTAGAAAAGGTGGAAATTATTGGCAAGAGCATTAAAGAAACTTTAGAAGAACTCTACTCTCAAAAAGTTATCGAGGCTCCTGGAATCATCATTGAAGCCGATGAAGTTGGGGATGTCCGAATGGCAAAATACAAGCTCATGAATCAAGCATCTCCTGAGATACAGAAAGAAGAAATTATCAAGGGTGATCTCAGAAATATAATGGTAAATCTACTTTCCAAAAGAGATTGTACAAAAAGAGAGATTATTGTTAGTGAGGAAGAGAAGGGAAATGTTAATTTAACCAAAACTCAATTACTAAACCAATCAACAGAACTGCACGCTAAGAAAGAAGAGATAGTGAAAGGAGATGTACAACAAACAATAAAAAACTTGTTCTCTGAGGAAAAATCTGTCAAGAAAGGCATTGTGATTCAGGAAGATGAAAGAGGAGATATTAACATGACAATCTATTGTCTTCTTCATGAAAATGATGGTGACACAATTGAGCGTGAAGAAGTAATAGGAGGTGATGTAAAACGCACCATTCATAATTTGCTGTCTTCCACAGCAAACAATAAAATATCTGAAAGAACTAAAATTGATGCCTCTGAAAGAGGAAATGTTCAGTTTTTTACAACATGCATAGAAACTGGAGCTTTGGATTATCTCAAACAACTCCAGGCAGGGTCAAATGAAACACTGGCAGCTGAAAAACAAGAGGAAAAGGAAGAAATAATTGGCGGTGATGTTGAGGGCACAAAACTGTTACTAAAGAAAAGGCAGTCTCAGATTGAATGTACTGTTAATGAAACTGACATCATCCCAGGAGATGTGCATAATACAGTTAAGATTTTTACAACAGAGCCTCAGAGCACATCTTGTAAGACATCCAAAGAAGAAATTATAAAAGATGATTTGAAATCAACCAGTCAGGCCATAAATCAGAAAACAGTGGGCAAGACAGAAGAAATGATAAAAGGTGACATGCTGGCCACAAGCAAGTCACTTAAAGAATCAAGTCACCAGTGGCTAGAAGCTAAACAGCCGGATGTTATCCCTTGTGATATTGAGCAGGCTATTGAAAGGCTTGAAAAAGCTGCAAAGACAAGGACAGAAATGCTGAAAAAGGAGCTTATCCGAGATGACCTTGAGACATCATTAAAGTCTCTGAAAGAAGCACAAAGCCCTTTCAAAGAGGTAGATAAAGAAGGTGTAATCAAGGAAGCTGTGCAAGCTGTAATGGCAGGAGCCTCACAAGAGAAGAAAACAGAGATGCACCAGGTGGATGTCTACAGGGACAGAAAGAGTGTTTTTCAGCCAATACCAGGACCATTTGAATCAGCAGCCAGGTGGCAAGGTGGCAAAGACACAGGCAAGCAAACTACTGGCAAATCTCGTTATGATAATTTAATGGAAGAAAGAACTGAGATTAATCTTCCAAAAGCCCCCAAAGGCACTGTAAAGATTGTCATAGATCGTGAACAAAACAATGATGCTCTGGAGAAAAGCCTTAGAAGGTTATCTAATTTACATCACAAAACTACTGAAAATGTGTTGGAATCTGGAGATAAAAAGGGTGCCTGGATTACTGCTGCCAAAGAACAGCATCAAAAAGACTTGCATATGAACCAACAATTGACTTCAACTGTTTCTGGTAAGGAAAGCCTAAAAATTAAGGACTCAGTGACAGTGAGAGAGCGGAAGAAGGATGATGTCTTTAACTCCCCCAAGTCTGTTATTGATAAAGTAGTTGAAAAGCAACAAATGCAAACCTTCGAGCTGAGGGATGACCACCAGAAAACTTCCTATATAAATAGCCCTATAATGAACAAAAACATGAAAATACCGATGGATACACCTGGTGTCGAGCCCAGTCCTACCCAGCGCCCATTCAACAGACCAGTTAGAGAAACTTGCAAAGTTACAGAGGACTTTCAGAAGCAAACTTTGTTAAAGCAAGAAATGCAATCTTCTAAGAAGGATATAAAGCAAAAAAACATGAACCTTCCACCAGTGTGGCAGCTTGTGCCTGTAGATCAAGACATATCAAATGTTACAGATGTGAAATTCTCTGAAAAAAGCCACAGTGAATTTAAAGCAACTGACAAAAAGCAGAAGACTGATGGACATCTGAAAAGCCAGGACTTTTTAATGAAGACAAATACTTCAAGAGACCTAAAGCTGGCAATGGAAAAGTCCTTTAATCCAATCTGTTTTAACCCTGAGAATGATGTGAAAGAAAGTGAGTGTTCCCTTCCACCTCCATCCCCACCTCCTCCTCCACCTTCTAATGGATCATCTGAAATCGATTTTCCACTTCCTCCTCCACCTCCTTTAGTGGAGATGGTGCCTGACAAAAGTATGTTTCTTCCCTCACTGTCCACAGAGAAGATAAAGGCTGAATTTGAAAGCTTCTCAAGTCTCCCTCCTCCACCACCACCAGTACATGAGAAATCTGAGAAAGAATGTCTAGCAACACTTTCACCCCTTTCCACTCCTCCAACTCTATCTCATAAGCCAGCCTGTCTTACCTCTTCTGTTCAAGAAAAGCTCAGTGGAGCAGTCATTCAGCAATATTCCCAAGAAGATGCCTCAAGCTCTGAGCAAACTCATTCTCAGACAAAAACCATGACAGGAAAATCTGACATACTTTTGCCACCTCCAACATTACCCAAACCAAAATTTTTCAAGCAGAAGCTGATGGAAGATAAAAAGAATCCTCATTTGCCAAAAGTTGAATCAGCAAATTTCCTATCAGACATAGAATGTAAAACTACTACATCAAAGGATCAGAAAAGAGTGATGATGGCAGCTAGCAGTGAGCATACAAAACCAGAACAGAATATTGTTAGAAAAAGTCTGGATGAAAGAAAACAATCATCTATTGAGTCACGAATGTCTATGTCACATAGAGTTCCAGAAACTTCAGCACCCAAAGAAAAACAGATAGCACCTCTTCAAAAATCTCATTCATTTCCAGTGGGCTCAGGACCACAAAGTCCAAAACCTTATTTAAGAAAATTTAAGACTCCTTTAATGATCGCTGAAGAAAAATACAGACAGCAAAGACAAGAGCTTGAAAAACAGAAACTTGAGAGTTCTTGCTACAAAATAGTGAAAACTGAAAGCCAAAATCAAAACATGATAGAGTTGGAAAAGGAGGTGCTGTTACAGAAAACAAATGAGGACTTTCCTTCAGCTGAAAAGGGTTCAGAGATTACTGTGGTCCAATCCGATCCAGACCCTCAAAGTAACCCTAAAGTAAAAGGACTTAGCACAGACAATCAGCTCTTCACAACATCAGCAGTGTCGGTAGCTGCCAAGAGGCTCCAACATGTTTTAGCAACCTCAGAAGACAAAGATAGCATTAAAAAGGATGTTTTAGAGAGTTCATGGGACATTATGAAATCTAACTCAGCTTGTGATATTCAACAGAATCACCAAGAACATGAGAGTAGCACACGAGAGAAATATCTGGAGCAACTGCATTTATTCCCAAACAAGCCAAGTCCCCCAAGTTCCAAAGTTAAAACCATCAAGCTACCAACTTCAGATTCTAAATTAAATGAAACAGACAGCAGCTATGAAAACCATAAAAAGCAATATGAAGTCAATGTCCAAACCATTACTAAACAACAGTATCGGGAAAGTGAGAAAACTGAATATAGTAATAAGCAAACTGTGGCTGAAAGAGATTATCAATTACCTAAGAAGGAGAAAAAAGTGACAAAAAATGTGCCTGCAGAACCTCTAGAGAAGAATCAAGAAAGCAAGCTGGATATAGTTCACGAGAAGAGAATAGAATTGAGAGAATCTCAGAGTGGAGACCTTCTGGGAAATGAGGAAGAAAATCAGGCACCACCTGAGATGGGTCCAAAAGAAGAAAACCGAATGATGGAAAGAAAACAAGAACATTTTAAGAACACATCAGCACAGAAGGTAGTCAAGCAAAAAGTTACTGATGCACATCTTGATTCACAGAATCAGAGTTTTCAGCAAACAAAACTACAGGCTTCTGAAAGTAATGTTGAACATAAAAAATTGTCCCAGCCATATAACAGTCTTCAAGAAGAAAAATGTCTCAGAGTCAAGGACATACAACAGAAACAAGTCTTCTCTAATACTAAAGATTCAAAGCAAGAGATTACACAGAACAAATCTTTATTTTCCTCTGTGAAAGAATCCCAGCAGGATGATGGAAAGGGTGCTGTAAATATATGGGAATTCTTGAGAAAACGGGAAGAACTACAGGAGATTTTGTCTCGAGTGAAACAGTTTGAAGCAGAGCCAAATACAAATGGCATTAAAACATTTCAGACACTGTTAAATATTATCCCAGTATGGTTGATAAGTGAAGAAAGAAGAAAGTATGGAGTTCGCATTGCCCTGGAGAATAATTTAGAAAAAATAAAAGAAGAAATAATGCATATTAAAACTCAAGCAGAGAATATGCTTGTCTCCTCTGAGAATATAATTCAAACAGCCATGACAGCCTCTAAAGCAGGACATCTGAGATATAAGCCCAATAGTCTTAATGAAACATTGTCTAAAACGCCTAGTGTTAATGTCAGTTGCAAGAAAAATAGTGAGCAGAAGGAAAATAAAATTGTAGAAGAAAAAACAGCTCACCATCCAGTAACAACTCATCATGAAGCAAAAACGGTTCATGATCATGTGAAAAGTCATCAGGAAACCAAACGAGATGACAGCAAAATTTCTCCCTCTTGTTTAAAAACACGACCACAGTCACCTACTTTTATAACAATTGAGTCTACTGCACGAAGATCACAAACCCCAACTAAGGATGAGCTTTCTCCATCCCCTAAAATGGACTGTTCCGCTCAACCACCACCACTAAGAAGGCCCATATCACAAACATCTATAATTCACAGAACAAACACCTCCCCCTCCCCACCCAGAAGTCGCTCTGAACAACTTGTCAAACTCAAAGACACTACTGCCAAGTTATCCAGAAGGCCTATTCCAAGTCCATCAGTGACTCCAGTTCCAATTGTAGAGAAGAAGTCTGAGATTATTACATCTCCTGAAACACTTCGTCGTCAAATTAAGATAGAAACTCGCGGTAGGGCCTCCTCACCTACAATCACAATACCTATAAATGTCAATCACGGTGCTAGTGGATCGTTTAGAGAATCCCTGGAAGCACAAGAAGAAGTTAGGAAAGTAGAGAAAAGGACAACTTATACTCACAAAGATGGATCTAATGCCACTAAGCTCAAAGTCCCAGATACAGAAAGTTTTGATGCTGTTGAAATCATCCGCAAGGTCGAAGTGCCTCACCTGTCAGGGCACACACAGAGATACGAAGCAGCCGGCCGAACTGTTCAAATGGCTGAAAATTTCATAAATGGCCATGAAAATGATATAAACAGATGGTTCAGGGAATTTGAGGGTGGTCCTGTTTTTGAAGCAATGTCAAATAGAAGAGTTTATGCAAATGGAGAAGGAAACCATAATATAAAACAAGAAAGTCGTGAATTTTGTAATGAGGAATTTGGATTAACATCTTTAGAAAATACAGGTTTTGAGAGCTTTTCTTGCAGACATCCCAGAGAGCTGCAAGAAAAAATTCCTTTTAAACAGCCCAAAGTATGCTCTGAAACAAGGTCCTTAAGTGAGCATTTCTCAGGCATGGATGCATTCGAAAGTCAAGTTGTCAGGTCAAAGACAGCAGCCTCTTCATCACGTAGTTCAGAAACCAGCAAACCAGGCTTTGACTTCAAGCATGCCCCACCGACCTATGAAGATGTCATCGCTGGCCATATTTTAGATATTTCTGATTCACCTAAAGAACTCAAGGGGAATTTTCAGAAGACATGGCAGGAGAGTGGAAGAGTTTTTCAAAGCCTGGGATATGCAACCTCAGATGCTTCTGCAACTGAGATGAGAACCACCTTCCAAGAAGAATCTGCATTTATAAATGGTAAATGAGCTTGCAAAGTGTGAAAGAAGATTAACCCACTTAAAAGCAGGTGTTCCATAGCTAAGATGATTTGCAATTAACAGAGCATGTGGAAAAACTCAAAGGTTATAACCTGAAACTAACTTTCCATTTATGCTTGCATCCTTCTCTTTACTAGACTTTTTTGCTTTTGCTACTTGCTCTTTACAAAAGCGTCTAGTATATGTGATTCACCTGCACTCTGTGAGATTAGAAAATATTATTATATAGATTATTGATATCTATTCATCAAAGTAAATAAGGCTTTGGATAAAGCATGAGATGTGATCATTGTTATTGTGACAGTATTAATAATTATATATAACTATATACTTATTAACCATGTAAAATCATGACACATTATAAGGATTTCATATTACAAAATTATTATTTTATCCAATTGGTTTGGATAATATTTTATAACATTCCTTGACCTACTATTGACATGTTTTTTTTTACCTGCCATATTTAAGAGGTGTTTCTATTTGAATTGAATACAACCTGATAATAATCTGTCAAAGAAGAAAATATCATACTCTGGTAGGAATGACAGAAACAGAGTTTTATTGAGGAATAATATAGCTCAAGGTGGGCAGCACTAAGTAAAAATTCAAACCACTCCACCTTTCAAGCAAAGAGAGTAGTCTGTATATGTATAGAACAAAGGGAGGGTAGGGGTTAATGATTGATAAGATCACCTTCAACTTGAAGTCCTTTGAAATGTAAAGATCAGCCACTTGGATAGGAGGCGGTGTCAAATTGCCTTATAAGCAAGGCAAGCATGAATTATCTTTGTTTTTTTTTTGTTTTTGTTTTTTTAACTGATTTGTAGTGAACAATTCCACATTTTCCCACCACATCAAAGATTCTGCTTCTAGGTATGACTGGTATCTGTCTCTCTCCCAAATCCACAGTACCTTCCCATAAAATCAAAGCCTCTTTTCAAATTTACACTCCTTTACAGGGACAGAGCACCCAGTAAGCAAATTAAGCACAGGTTTACTTGTGCTTACCTACTGATCTGAACAGTTTCACATGGGGTTCAATGTGTTGAAAAACATGTGAAACTGTTCTCTACAGATTAATAAGTAGGTACAAGTAAGTCTGTGATTACTTTGCTTATTGGATAATCCATGCCTGCTAGGAAAGAATGAGTTACCACTAGGTGAGTAACACAAGTGGTTCAGTTGTACATGATTACAGTCATGAACACAGTGTGAAGAAGTTGTTTACAACCTGATACATTCTTCCCACGAACAAATGTTTCACATCCTGACCTTTTGCTTCCTGGGAATGCATGTTGGTTCTATCATTCTTATGTCTGACATGAGTGCCTCAAATTTGAAATTTTTTGTTTACATTTCCCCCTTTTCTTCAAGCTTCAAGTAGGGAGCAATGAACACCCACAGTGGAGTAGTTTTTCTTCTTTGAGGACTTTGTTTTCTTGAGGAGCTTTGGTTAGCAAAAATAATTTTCTTTATCTTGCCAAGTTAATAATAGGCCTTATCTTCAGGGTGAGGAAGTTTTATGGTAAATATCTAATGGAAAAGGCCACACTGAAGGAACATTTGTCAGTCAGGAGAGAATGATAGAAGTCAAGGTGAAACATACCCAGAGAGTAATAACAAAAGGGAAGTGATTAAATAACACCATCATTGGTGAAAGTGTGAAACCAGCATGATTTTATTGAAGGGTTAAATGGTTTTGAAGGACAGCATTTCATGAATAAAATGCATTGAACTAAAGCAAAAGAAAACTTTATAATTACAATAATAGAAATGAAGAGGAATATAAATTCCAAAATAAAGGGTTTTTGTTTTGTTTTGTATTTTGTTTTTTTCCACCATCCACCCCATGAGGAAAAACAATTACTTATAATTTCAGTTAAGGAAAGAATGGGATTATTAAGGCAAGATGCTACAAGATGCATATGATTAACACAGAGTATAATATTAGTACTATTATCAGAAATACAGATTTTATTATGGCTCAGGTTCCCCCTTGGGCTGCAGGGAGACTGTCCTAGACCCTTCTATTTTGGAGTGCTATTTTTCTCATGGTTGCTGTTTTGGTATTGATCTCTTGAAGCCCATGGATATTGTCATTTAGGGAAATTTGTATATATTTGGTTAATATTTCTGCATGTTATAACATCTTCAAGTCCTACTTAAGGTGCAAATACTGCCACTAAATGATCAAGCCAAAGAAGCTCTGAAAGAGACCATCCATCTCCTAATACGGGTACATTAGCTGGTAAAGGAAGTTCAGTTAAATTATGCCCTTGGGTCCAGCTCAGGTTCACAGTACATCTTCCAGTCCAGCCTGGTGGAAGCCAAAGCCACATAACCAAAAGATACCATTGTTGTTGTTCTTCTTCTTGTTTGCCATTGAGTCGGACCCAACTCATAGTGACCCCTCCTTGGGTTTCTGAGGCAGTATCACTGTGGAAGTAAATTGCCCAACCTTCCTTCTGAGGAGTGGCTGGTGGGTTTGAACCGCCAGCCTTCTGGTTAGCAGTCAAGTGCATTAGGCACTATGCTACCAGAGCTCCTCAAAGATACCATTGTTGTTGTTGTTGTTATTTTGTTGTCGAGTCGGCCCCAACTCATAGCGACCCCTCCTTG